CGCCCACAGCCCTGGAGATTAAACGCTTGTCACTACAATAACCTCAAGGGTGGGGAAACGAGGGCGGGGGGTGGAGCGGCTATCTGGTGTAGGGCGGCATGGGATTGTAGCTTCTTATGCAGGTGAGGTCACAGCGGAGCAATCTTTAGCGCACGCTAACAGCTTTAAGTACAACCAGATTCATACAAGAACAATCAGCGTGAAGGTGCACAAATGGCACCGAGGTCACGGAGTAGGGAGGGATGAGTGGGAGGTGGGGCGGGGGGAGTAATGATTTGCCGCATGAGCTTCTGCACAGAACATTTTATTTTTTACACCGTACCAGCCTAATGAGCGTCACAAGTGGGCAATTTGATACTGAAGAGGGACATGGTTGGTTCGTTTGGTGATGTCATTGTCCTCATGGGGGGTTTGATATCCAACATACTTCATTACCCCCACCGCCAAGCGTGATCTCCGTGGACACACAACTGAAGGGAATCGCCACCACATGCATCATCTCACGAGCTTTTGGTAAACTGGAAAACAGGCTTGAGCGGGAGAACACGGTAGTGGTTCGCCTGTCTGTCTCTCATTTCTGAGGTTCAGGGTTCGACTCCCGGCTCCCGCCCTTTCTCTGAGGAATTTGCATGTTTTGGTTCTGCCGTGCAATTTGGTGATTCCCATTTTGTTCTTCTTTCCAATTTAAATTTTATCGAACTTATTTTAAAAAGTGCCCCATCTAATGGTCGAATGTAGAATTACACCACCTCAATATACAGAGGAGCTAGAGAAAAATAGAGCTGACTGTACATACAAAAAAATAATAAATAAAGAGATCGAGAGAGGTTCACTCTCCCCCATTTTTTTGCCACCAAAGTCTTTGGTGAATTAAAAACTTGTTCAGAGTTGCAAACGGTTGCTTTGCAATTGACTCGTGACCAGTCCAGTGCGTACGCCACTTCTCGAATATGCCATTTTCTTTGCCGTTATCGATCAATCTATTTATCAATCTGTTCAGCTTGGAGCTGATGGACTTGCCGCTCACAAAGTAATAAAACATGCTCTATTGGGTTTAGATCAGGCCAGTGATTCGGTCCAGGAAAAATGATGTCAGAGGAAGATCACAGAAAGCGCTTAGTCAGCGTTCAAAGTGGGTCGCTCGAATCACGTCATACGCCTGAGAGTCACAAAAAGGCATATTTTCACGATGAATTAAACATTATAGCCATCAATAACACCCACTCAATTTATTTATTTTTTTTTGTGCTTAGCTTCATTTGTGTCACGGCTAACCCGAAGCCAATTTCTAGCAACTTGCAGGGCACACATAAACAAACAAGCATTCACGTTGACACCAATAGACAATTTAGAGTCAATAAAGAACCTAACGGATGTTTTTGGTGGGAGAAAGCCAGACCAGCTTGAAAAAAAAAAACAAAAAAACACGAGAACATGGAAAACTCCGAAGCTGAGATTCAAACCCCGACCCACAGAACATTTCCTTTACGGAAAACATGATATTGCTGATTTTACATGGCGACGGATGCGCGCAGGGAGTGAGTCATAAGTTGGGATGCCGCGCAAGTAGTTCGCATGGCAACGGCAAAGCTTTATTTTTAATTTTTTTCCAATGGGGTGTAAACACTGCTACACTGTTATGCATTCATCACATAACTTGACTGGGACCGCGCTGCCTCGCCAGCTTTGACTTCTATTGCCATCAATGGCAGTGAATGAGTTAAAAACACTTTTTTTTTTCCCCAGTTAATTTTCAAGAGGGAAATTTGATAACCAATAAGGATTTTTTTTTTCAGCCAATGCAGATTCAGATATTTGGCAGAATAAAAGATGGGGAAATCCAGAGTTTATTATGTTAAAAATGGGGATCTGAAACCTAATAAAATGAGTGTTTATAAGAGATTCAAATGATTCAAAATTGGAAATTTAGGAGCCTGGAACTCAATTCACTTGACACAAAATCTGTTGGGGTGACCCGAAATGGGGCGTGCGCAACCCTGCAAAGAACTTATGCTATGCTGACAAAAATCACACCAACTTAGTGTTCATGACACATTTTTCAATTGAATTTTTCGAGCAATAAGTCACATTAGTTCAGGGGGAAGAATTGTTTTATGATGGGCTAATTTTTCGATCATGAGGAAAAGTGACTATTTTCTACTTAATTGTGAAACCAACATTTCATTCAATAGGAAATAAAACAAGTCTATATGTGCTAAAATTGCTGAATGACACTACGGATGACAACGTGGAAATTGTTAGACGCCACTAACGTGTGGTTTAATGATCTTGGAGTCGTTGGAGAAGGATGCCTGGTAGCAATTATTTTATTAAGTACCGTAATAATGAACTCACCAGCGAGCGCAGCTGTCGCGGGAGGGCAACTTGAAGTCCCCGGCATCTCGACTCTGTCCACAAAAAAAAAAAAAAAAAAAAAAAAAAAGCGGACTGTTGTTATTTATTATTCCGCTGACTTTCGTGACTCGAACGCGTGCACCCACCCGTCCTCCCCAAAAAGACTGAAAAGGTCCTCAGCGTGATGAGCTCTAGTCCATCGTGCGTCCGCCTGTGCTCTGAGCGGCTGCAGCAGCATGAGGAGGAAGAAGAGGAAGAGGAAAGAGGAGGAGGAGGAGAAGGAGGGATGTTCTCTCGCAAGCGGGACCCTACTTGGGGGGGGGGCTTGGTCTGCTGTTGGAGCATGGGAAATTCTTCCTAGTGCCAGGAAGTGAACATTTACACCACCATTCTGTCTGACAGCTGGGCCTAAAGTGCATTCGCTTCAATAGCAATACAATAACATACACAGGGTGGCATGAACGCTAAATGTGCAGCGGAATCTCCAAGGTTCAATTGCAACCCCCCTCCCTGTGGAAATTATGGAAAGAGAATTTCTCCTCTCCGTGGTGAAACTGTGCCCCATCGTCCAAGCTTTATGAACTACACTTGCGGATTTGTATTAACCGCTGGCGGAAACGAGTAAAATGGCACTCTAAAGTATGGTACGCTATAAAAACATACAGTCACGACATTATGAAATATTATGTCAGGATTAAACAGTTTGTGCATCGTTATTTAATGGTGTAATCCAATTAATTGCGCTGCTTACTCTGTTGGGCCCGCCTTGGCCAGCAGGAGGCAATATAATACTGCCCAAAAATGCAGACACCAACAAAGAAGAAATGTCTTACGACTGCGAGTCAGTCATTATTCAGTACCAGCCAATTCTGGACCCAGTCTGAAAAGACGTTTAAAAATTTCTTTGGGAGTGAATGAGTTAAGTTGCTGTCATATTTGTCTTTTTTTTTAATAGAGGACAAAGAGTGTATATTTCTTGACTCGTTTTGCCATTCATGACATCAGTTTATTCACCTTTTTTTTTCTGCATTCCAACATGGTAAATCCTTCCTGTCCCGCAGATATCTCACGCATTTGCTCACCATTCTCCACACTTCTACCCCGAGACGTACTTTTCACGCACGTCAAGTGATGTTTTTCCCCCCTCGCCCTCGGAAAACAACATTGGTGTCGATTCTACTGCGCCCGCTCCATCTGCGGAAGAGCATTAGGAGTGGACAAGATCATGAGTCCTCATCTCATTGAAGCGAACGCGTTCTTGGAATATCCCGAAAACCGTTCCTGCTTTCTAACAAAGACAACAACAAAAAAATCCTTTTGAGGGCAGATTTATTTTCACGGAATCTGACAGGGGGGAATCTTGACTTGCTCATTTCTGCCCTATGAGGGGACATCTATCTCTGGAGAACACGCCAGGAATTTGTAATGTACACAACAACAGAATGGCTGTGCCGTGTTTACGTCAATGGCAGAGAAGCGGTAACGCGCTATATAAGGCGTGGGGGAAATCGCACGGACGGCTAAAAATGGTATGACGGGTGGATCGGCGAAGCTATTAATCCACAATTTGTGAAGTCTGATACAAGAGAAGAGAAACGGCAGCGGGCAGATTATAGATGGACGCTGATCGTCATGAGCAACGACTACTGTTTAAAAACATTTTTAAATATAAATATTCTCTTTCTATTCGTCATCATCTCATACGATTTATCGTAATTTTTTGTGTAACATTTACGCCTTTTATATAATATGACGGCTTTTCTTTCGTAATGTTAGAACTTATTTTACCGTATTTTTAGGGTTTTTTTCCCCCACCAATAATGTTCCAATTGTTTTTCCTAATGTTCAATGTATTTTTGTAACTGTTCAACTTGCCTTTTGACAAGTTGCGTCTTATCCTTGGTCATGTGATGACTTTTTTCGGATTGTAATTTTTTTAAATGATGTTGTAGCTTTTCCTCAATAATGTTATAAAGCTATTTATATGACAGTAAGTTGGCATTAGTTTTTCTGTCATCATGTTACAACATTTTTCATGATGTTCAAGTTTTCCCCCTGAAAGATTACAGCATTTTTTTTTGTTTTGTTGTAAAGTTAAGTATTACTGTAATGTTAGGTTTGGCTGTCATATTAATACTTTTCCATTGAAAGATGACCTTTTGTCCCGCAAAATACACTTTTTGGTGTAGGTTACGTCTTTATCATGATCAGAAATTATACATTCATAGCATGACAACTTCATTCTTACAAGCGTGTCAAATTTTTCTCTGATGGTATTTGGACTTTATTAGTGTAAAATCGCTTTACTGTCGTACTTTTTTTTCCGTCCAAGCAATTCCCGAACAATCTTGCACTATATTTTTGAAGAAACATTATTGCCGTGGCATTTTCACTGGAGACAGCAGCTGACAGCTCCGTTAAAACCGTGTTCACTCGAATACGACAGAACATCATCACCTCTTTAACGGACCACCAACATTGTAAGCGGATACTTGCGTTCTCATGGTCGCGTTAGTGGCCTGACTTAGTGATGCCACTGGGGGCGAACAAGCAAGTCCTGTGTTGAGTCGGCGTGACAGAAAGCAGACCCCCCCCCCTTCGCCGATGCTTTTAACGCCAACATTAACCAGACCAAGATAAGCGAGAGGAGAGGAACGTCGCTCCACTTCACCCTTGGTAACCTCTACTTTTGATCAACCGCTCATTCCAAACCACTGGGATCATTTTTTACAGTATTTGTGTGGATGCTGCTTTTGTACGATCAAACAGTTCGGTACCAAACAGATGAAACTAGCGGGATTATGTCCAGAACAAAAAAAAAAAAGATGAAATGGGTTTCTGAGGAGGCTCTGCAAAAACGTGACTCATGGATTGAAGGAGTCACTATGACATCAATGGAACCATCAACCAGCACCACAGATTCACAATTGAGCAGCTCATCTTGTATGAAAACAGGAAGTACAGTGATATGGGTAAAAAGGGACCAAGCCCTACTATGAAGAGTGAAAATCGGAGAGCAATAGATGCCAAAAGGTTTCTCATAGCTTGTAGTTGCTGCAATGCTAACGTATTTTTTTTCGGAATTTTCCAAACTTTTGGACTTGGTGTTCTCTGTTACTGTATGGTTTTGGGACTTCGTCGTCAATATCGAAACTCTGTAAGTGATTGATGAACCCTTCCAGCCACCCCGAAAAAGGTTTATGAATGCCTATCGCCACCACTAGATGGCGGCATCAAGCAGCCACAAGATGCTGCCTAAGCAAAACATTTGATATCGGACATGGCTAAGGTGAAAGATCGTAAATCCGAAAATTCAAATCTGATCCCTTGCGTCTTAATTTCCAGACTCTTATGATTCTAACATGGAAGCAAGCGGGTAAAAGTTAGCCATCCAGCTTCAAAGTCGAATTCTAACCGCCCCCCCCCCCAACCCCCCATGAGGGCCGCTGACATACAAGAGTCCAAAACATATGGGCATCAATTAATGGGATCAATCGACTATTTGTAGCTGGCTGCCAGGATGCGGCGCTTGGCCGAATGAAGGGGCAGCGTCGGGTCTCGACCTCTTTGACTCTGTCAACACTGACTCAGGGCTTCGGTTACATCCTGGATGCTGACAAATAAGGCAACTCCCCTGTCGCTTTCCTCAAAAGCCGTGAATCATTTGTCTGCAGTCGGCACGGACGAGCATGCACATCTCCCTTTTGTTTGATAGCGGACGTGAGGGATAATCAGGCATTGTTACTTCACTGCGGCCGTCCCTGACATGTTATCGAGCGTCATTTCGTAAGATGACGGAAAGCAGGCACAATTTACAGCGGTGCGTCGAATTACGATTTGAAATCCTTTTGTCACCATCAATGGTATGTATCTGATCAATTTTCACACGTTGCACCTAACTGAAATTCGGTGAATCTGGATTGGATTTTTATGACTGTATTTTTACAAATTCGTCACAATTTTTTCATCCAACATTCCTCATATAAGGTGCCGATTTTATTCTCCTGTGTGTATTCCTTTTTTGGATGTGGAAAAAGGTACACATTGATTTTTCCCAACGATGTACGGAAGTGAGCCGAGGTGCCTTTTAAGTCACAAAAAACGTCATTCTCAATTTCTTGTGCCATACTGACTTCACAGCTAATCATTAAAAAGGGAGTGAATGAAGGAAGTGATTTCACAAGGAACCACTCCCTTGTCCTTTGCTAACCGGATTACATTTACGAGCCTAACAATGGCCGCGACATGACAGGGCGGAATCCAATGTTTATGTCCCACAAAAAAAAAAAAAAAAAAAAGCAAGAACTACACGGTGAGTTCCAAGTTTGTTCCCCACCTCCCTTGAAAGCAACACCGTCAGAGGAAGCTCTTCAGGAAAGACTCAAATTTCAGGTGACATGAATCATGAATTGTCGTATAGCAGTGATATCATTTAAAAGAGGAAGTTAAAAAATAAAAAAAAAACGTACAAAAATATGTTCTATGCGCCCCCTTACTAGTCCAAACATGGAATTGTGATTAATATTGTGTTTATGGAATATGAATTCAGCAAAAAATAGGTGAACCGTGATAGTCTGTACCTTCAAGTGCATGTGCCTGGTCACTATTTGAGGTTTTTTTTTTTTTTTTAATGCAATACATCAGTAACATTTTTTAATGTCATTCCAAAATGCCTCTGGAGAGCTGACGCTCTCATAAAATGTATTAAATTTTTTTGTGTTAAAATTGTAAAAAAAATTTAAAAAAAGATAGTGAAAAATAATGTCCATAAATTGTGACATCCAATCATAGTACAATGTTTCAATAGTATTCTAAAAAATGTGTTAGTACAGAGATGGGCCTCGCTCCCAACTCCCCCATCTCATCTGCAGATATTACTCCAGTTACACTTGACATCAATTGGAAAATACATAACCCGTATTCCAAAAACTTTTGGAGGAAAATAAAAGCCTAGCTCCAAATAGACTCCTCTGCTCCCCTACCGTTGAATAAATAAACAGCCATGGACATAATACCAATTTCATTTGACATCAGTTAATAGTATCCAAAAATGTGTTTGCACAAATAAAGCCTCGCCCCTAATTAAAAAAAAAAAAAACACACTTCTCATCCGCAGTTGAGTAAATAAATCCTCAAACGCCCCCAGACATTACTACAGGCTCACCAACATGAATAGTAACACACCAGTAACACTTTATATTATTCGAAAATGAGGCTCACACACACACACACGGACACACACACACACAAACACACGGACAGTATATCACTCCGTATAGTGAGAGGCAGTGGGGCGCAAACACAGTTGTCTCCGAGAAGCACGCGCGCGCGGCTACACATTCTTGGCGTGTCGAAGCCGCCATCGGGACTGCAAGGGGATCATATTCCCCAATGTCTCACGCCGTGACATCTGGCGTCGGCGTGTTTTTTCACGACAAGATGCTTTGTACAGCGAGGCATATGCGCGCACTGGTTCCCCCTAGAAGTCAACCTCCGATCCCCCCAAAGTGTTTCTTTATCAAGTCGTTTTTATGAACAGCGCAGCGTGATTTATAAAGCGGGGTTTATGATCAGTCGCACTCACGAGTAGCATCACTGGAGAGTCTAAAGCACAGGTGTCAAAGTCAAGGCCCGGGGGCCAGATCTGGCCCGCCACATCATTTTATGTGGCCCGCGAGAGCAAATCAAGCTGTCAAGTTCCATGATGCTTGCTAAAGTCTGAACCAAAATTTCAAATTGTCATATGTAATCCACAATAACAGTGATTATTTTTTTACTTCTGATTTTAAAAATAGTTATCCATCAATTTGTTGTGCGCAGAGTATGTAATATGTGGAGGTGATTAAACATTTATATGGTTTCCCAAAATTCATAACGGCCCTCGAAGGGAAACCGTAACTACAATGTGGCGCGAGACAAAAATGAGTTTGACACCCCTGGTCTAAAGTGTACACAAAACTTAACGTCAATTGACATTTTAAACCTCCCGTTACATCTTCAATAGCAGTGATATGGGTCAAAATGACCCAGGGCATCTTTAGTCATCCAAAAGCATTATAAAACCCTAACCCTCCGTTATGGCCCATTTCTGCAAAAGTAACCATTTTTATCAAGCCAAGAAGAAGAAGATTCAAATGAACCCACTCCAAAAATTGTTTACATGTCATCATAAACTCCGTGATGAACCATTTCATTGCGCATATCTGGAATGAACCATTTTCGCCACACCCACCGACCCATTAAGTTCATGCTAACATCTATTGCTAAGGGGCATCACAAACTAATGTTGAACAGGTTGAGTTTGGCTCCCTTTGACAGGTCTCAAGAGGTGCACGTTAAATCGAGAAGGCACCGAATGAGGGAGGTTCACATGACCCCCCCCTGTGAGTGTGCGTGTGCGTGCTTGTGTGTGTGCGTCTCTTGTCTTTGAGCCCTCAAGCGCTCCCCCTTTGGTAAGCAGATGGTGATTGAGATCAAAAAGGTCTTCATGCTCCCCTCATCGAATTTGCTTTGACTTCTCCACCTATCGAATCACATGTTTGAGAGGTCTGAACGTCCCGCGGTGCACGCTCAACTAATCATCTGCTCAGGATTAAAGCATTTCCCCCAAATAAAAGCCTCCCTCAAATGGACAATTGTAACATACAGATAATATTGATCATTTCATTTTCAACAACGTGCTGGTCGTTGCTTCCCACCCACCAACAGTCATTGTGTAAATACCAACGTCGAACCTGACATAAAATGTAATTGTAAAAATACAGGCCTTGCACAGAAACCCTAACAAAATAGCGTCACACGAACACGTCCGGTTGTTGCTTGACTCTATTTCACTTTCCCTATTCGCACTATTGTATCTGTACACCCGCGAACATGAAACATGGCCAAGACGTGTGCGCATTACATATATGTTACGATCCTCAGCGGCGGCACGCAGTCCCTGCGGAGGGGTCCCATTGTTCAAGACTTCCTGCCAAGTCCTAAGAGGGGGAGAACAGAGGAAAGGGAGGATCACAGGAAAAAAATATTTTTAAAGTAAAAACACCCAAAGTAATCTGACTGGAATGAAAAATGCAACAAATCTCGCGAAACTGTATTGAATTATATTTGAGAATAACTCAACTAATGGGACAATTACCTAATTCAGTCAATGGGGCGAGGGGGGGGGGGGTCCACCATCCCCATTGACTGATCAGTGAACTTGATACATGACATTCAATGCTCGCATTGTCTCAGCTGCGAGTCGTAAAATGACTTTTTTCAGTCGTTACCATCGGCTCATTGTGGTGTTTATTATTCGTGTCGCCTTCAATGGCGTGAAGTCAAAGCACTTCCCTTGATTGTGCAGCAGCTGTTGGCCGAGACCACGTTTGGTCTGCGAACTCAAAAAAAAAAAAAAAAAAATTTCAACCTCAACTTGCTGATGCTCGCGAGCAACTCGCAAATCTCGCAGGAATTGAAGTTAGCCAGATGAATAGATTCATTTTTACATTTTCTTTGGCTTTTTTCGCCACACTTATTATGCAATGTGGTTTTGTCTGTGATCGTTAGGTTCGCAGTTTTGTTTTAATGTCTTGACATTAACTATAGTCAACTGTGTTTTTCTTTTATACAAACCGTTAACAATGTTGACTGGTGTGGGAAAACTCACACGGATCCAGTTGGACCGTTGATGCTTTCCTGTATTGAGTCCTTAAGGGGTCCTTGAATGCACCATAAGCTTCATCGCGCAGAACTTCCAATCAACCGTTCGAAAATCATCCGTGGAGGAAAAACCTGCATATTTAAGCCTTTATTCCGCCACTGCCTTCTTTTCCATTCTCGTTATTACCACACGCTATGGGAAATTAGGAGTGTTGTTTGGACCCAACATACGATTCCGACTCTGCTTTATCTCAACATTGGCTTTTTGAATATCATCCACCATTAAACATAATTATGGCCCCACTCTCCAGCTCCGCACACTGTTTTGCGCTATTTTGAGATTCTCTAATTCACTTACAGCGGGGAAATGGTAAGCAAGGCTCTCTCGTTCTCTCTCCTTGGGGTGTTGTCTTAAAAGAGTGATCGAATGTACTTGTGTGTGTTCGTGCGTGTGCGTGACTTACATAGAAAGGGTGCACCAGGGGTCAAGCCTTTTGCCCACTCCTGAGACAGGAAATGGCTCCAATATGGGCGGCCTCTGACAAAGCTCCGGGGAGCCATTGCGGCCTCTTCGTCCACACCAGATCTCCATCGCCATCAGAGGGAGCACAGATGACCTCTAAGTGAAAAATACAGATGTTCTGCTCGGCCCATTTGAAACCATAGACGCCCTGCTGGGCTTCACTGGGATATCACGTTTAATTCAGGGTGGCAGGGAGGACACAAAGAGGAGTGTCCTTTTTTCCCTTTTTACCTTTATTTAATTATCCATCCGTCAACCATTATTTGAACCGCTTATCTCAGAAATATCTTTCAAGATTGCTGGTACGTGACTGCAATCTCCAGCCTTCCTCATGGAATATGGCATATTTGTCCACAAAAAAAGGAGAAAAAAACTTGGTTGCACTCCAAATTGAGCCAATGTGAGGATGAGGACATTTCTGTAGAGGTTACTCTCTGCGTCATCCTCAGCGGTGGAACGCTGCCAATTAATGAACTAACTGATGAAGAGTGACACCTAATCACGTTATAAACAAAAGACGCACGTCACCATGAGTCAGAAAAGCATAAAAATATGAAACAACACTAACAAACACAACAAGATTTAAGAATTAACGTCCCATCAGCTTCTTGCGGAAGCAGCTGCGATGAATCGCGGAAGAGAAATTATTCCACAGAAGCATACTGCCACCATGTGGTCAAAAGGAGTTAATACACGCTGCAGGTTACAAAGAGGCGTTTTGTTGCTTTATCGAATTACACAAGCGTGGCGATAAACAAAAGGAAAATTAGTCTCTATCGTAATCTGGGGTAATAAACGACTACTGGTTCATAATATTGTTTCTCTGTAATCTGCTGTACATTCATGCCACACTTGTTTGGTAGAATTTTGTAATGTTAGTCGTGGTGAACGCGATGAGTGTTTAGTAATTTAACAGCTCTAAAATTGAAGTAATTCAATATATTGTCATAATTTTCAGTGTTCGGCATCACGTCGTTGCATTTCTGACGTCATTGAAGGCAACAATGGTGCGTTCAGGTTCGGTTCGTGCTCGCATTCAACAACGTCAACCCCCGCCCTCTCCACCATGTTGGCTGGATCAGGAAGTGGCTTTAGTGAGTCGAAGAAGCTGGAATCTGAAGATTGAGCACTAACGCAGCTACACCGGCCGTCTCTATTCGACCCCCGCACACATTCCACCACTTGTCCCATTCGGCGTACATGCTGGGCGGCCTCCCGCTCGCTCGAGGCAGCCACTTTTTCCCGGATTGGACCGTTTCACAGCGCCAGACATGGCTTCTTTGACTCAGAGAACCTCGGGCCTCGTCCAGCGGCGAACCGAGGCCACCCGGAGCGCCGCCGCCGACAAGGAGAGGGAACCCGACCCCGAGGAGGAGGACGCGCGTCGAGGCGAGGAGGACGAGGACGACAAGGGTGATTCAAAGGAGACCCGACTCACGCTCATGGAGGAGGTGCTGCTCTTGGGCCTCAAGGACCGAGAGGTGAGCGTCTTCTTTTCCGTCGAATCCGCCAACTAGCTCGTCAGTTAGCTCCGGAGCTAACGGGACGTTAGCGAATGTCAACAAAGCTAACTTTAGCAGTTTCTTCGATGCTTTTTCTTCCCCACGACAACGAGTTCCAGCAACCGTGACCTCAAAACTTCACACTGTCCACAATATGCAACTCGTGTATTTTCTGTCTGTCTTAACGCACTCATTATTTCTTTACAACTTTTCTTGACAACTTGCCACTGGTTACGTGACTTTCTCTCGCTTAACCAACACGTCAGCGAACGGACAAACAAGCACACCTTTTTTCCTTTTTTTTTCTCTTTTATGCCACCCTCCCCACTTCCAACCCCTGGTCTTGCTTCCGCTCCTCCTCTAAATAAATCCCTCTCAGGGTTACACATCATTCTGGAACGACTGCATTTCGTCCGGCCTCCGAGGCTGCATGCTTGTCGAGCTGGCTCTCCGGGGGAGGCTCCAGCTGGAGGCCTGCGGCATGAGGAGGAAAAGTCTGCTCTCCAGAAAGGTGAGGGCTTCTTACCAACAGACAGTGTTGGCAACCCTTAAGACATAACCAGTCTGTATTAACCCACATAGGACAGTGCTTGTCAAAGAGGCGTCCACGAGCTGTAGCTTGGGGATCTGCAATACAACATCGTTCACCTTAAAGCATATTTAGCCAAATCGATTCCAAATAAGGCTGGACAATTATAAGGGCCTATATCATGCTAAATCAACTTCTTTGACCTTTTAGCCATGTAAATCCATCACCCAATTCTCCAAGCTGCCAGTGGGATGTCCGACAAGCGTATCCGGCGCAAATGAAGTTTTATGAGTGGCCTCAGTAGCGACAGACCACCCAGTAGCTGCTTGTCTGTGTTGTATGGTTGGACTATTATGGCAAAAGTAATTATGATTATTTGGATTGAGATTGCAATCCGGAGTAGTACAACAATTATTCATTGACTCGTTTTCTCATCTGTTTAAAAAAATAAAAAAAAAAAAGTGTCTTCAGTCTCGGCTTCCCTAAGACCGCAGACACGCTGCTGTGTTAGCCCTAAAAGTAGTCACATCGTGTCACGATTTATTGATGATCGCCCAACATGGCTGAGAGCTTCTGTGTGGCTGTGAGTCATTACCACACACTGGTCAAGTTGTTCCTGCTCAGCAAGGATGTGAGCCACCTTGTTCAAATATGCCAGTCGCCAATTTTTTTTTTTTTTTTTTTTTTTTTTTTGCTTTGTTTGCTAAGGTGATCTGCAAGTCTGATGCGCCAACCGGAGATGTGCTTCTGGATGAGGCCTTGAAGCACATTAAGGAGACTCAGCCTCCTGAGACGGTGCAGAGCTGGATAGAGCTACTGAGCGGTGAGGCAGAGGACTAAAAAAAAATGTAGCAAAATGTGACATTTCTTGTTGTCGACGCTAGGTTTTTATCTCGTTGTCCTATCAGGTGAGACGTGGAGTCCTTTTAAGCTGCACTACCAGCTGAGGAATGTCCGGGAACGACTGGCCAAAAACCTGGTTGAGAAAGGTGTCCTCACCACCGAGAAACAGAATTTCCTGCTTTTCGACATGACCACTCATCCGCTCACCAACAGCACCATCAAACAGGTACAAAAAAAATGCACGTTGAAATGTGTAAAATGAAGCTTGAAAACTGTCTTTTACAATTATTTTATATCGTTGCTGTCATGTGAAAAATATGTCTATCCATTTTTGTCATTTAAAAATTGTTCATGTTAATGAGATATCAAAACATGGATAATCCATTAACATAAAAAAAAAATGAAATGACAGGACAGCAATGATTTACAAATCGCACGACCAGCCAAACCGAATAAAAAAAAGTGCGCCTTATCGTCCAAAAATTACAGTAATTGTATGTTTAATGATTAGTGCTCCACTAATTGTGATAAGCGCCATCAACCTCGGAAAACCTTCAAAATAGACTTTTTCCTCCTTGTGGTCAGCGGCTGGTGAAGAAGGTCCAGGACTCGGTTCTGGAGAAGTGGGTGAATGACCCTCACCGCATGGACAAGCGCTTGCTTTCTCTGATCCTGCTGGCGCACTCGTCGGACGTGCTGGAGAATGCCTTTGCGCCCCTCCAGGACGAGCAGTACGACCTGGGCATGAAGAGGGTGCACACGCTCTTGGAGTTGGAGCCTGAGAAAGAGAGCGCCAAGTCCGGCGCCAATGAACTCATGTGGGCCGTGGTGGCCGCCTTCACCAAATGAGAAGGGAAATCCTATTTTTCCTTTTTTTTTTTTTTTCTTTTTTCTTTTTTGTTTTTTTTTTTTTTCTTTTTTTTTTTTAAAGGCGCGATGCAGTTGGACCCGGATTGATTTCTGAAGGACGTCAAATGAGACTAAAGAGACAATCTAATTCAGGTCGGGGAAGCCATTTTGTGCGGTCCGCGTTGTTAGTATCCCAGTGCAATCTCCCATCGGTGGTGGGCGTCACCTGGTTCAAGGAAAGGGTTAGCTTGAGAACAGAATGGACCCTACAGTAAACACGGCGGGAGAAAATGGACGCTGTCGTCATGGTGACTTATGAAGGAAGCGTCATGTACCTGCTCCGATGCCGAACATTCAGCCAATCATGAGGCGGACGACTACGGAAATCCGTTTGAACATTTTGTCAACATCCTTGATAGCAAGCTCAAAGTCCATGTACTAGTCCGCGCTTCGTACTCACTAAAGGAAGAGAAGTTGGCGCACCAGTATGACGACTACGGCGTGGAGTCTTTGGTCAAAAGTAGTGCTTTGCTGACATCTTGTGGAACCTGTAGGCAGTTGGAATCCTTTTGGGAGTCGAGAGGGAGAGGGTGCGTCTGACGAATGGCGTTGAACTTGAAACACTAATGCCTTCCACTACTGTATGACATTTCAATAAAATAGTAGATCAACTAAGGCATACTTGTCGGACTATTACTAGTGAGGGAGAACTATATCATTGTATCATGTGGGAAATTTGGCACGACGATTAGCATCCAGGACGTTCCCACTTGTTAGGCCTGATATTGTTACTACTGCAACCAATTAGTTTGCTAATACAGTTTAATTGCGCTCTGGTTGGCTAAAAGTAGTACTTGTGGGAAATACTCAACTATTAACTAGTAAGGCGACTCTGCTGGTGGGCACTACTCATTTTACTAGTGCCCTGAATTGTCTTATTATTGAGGGCAAAGAACGTACTAGTACATGGACCTTGTACCAGCAAATTAATGCTCTAATGGCTTGCCATAGAAGACCGACCTTTCCCATGATGCCGCTTCCTGATATACGTTTATATATATATTTTTTAACCACGATGCCGCAAATGTTTTTTCTTTTTAAAGTTTGATTTCCCTTTCTTCTCTCGCGGCATCTAAACAAGATATACACAATTGGGCGTCCACTTCTGCTTCTTCTCGTAGTTTTGCCATTTATCAAGTGTTTTTTGCACAGCTTCGTAGCTAGTCCAGGAAGTTGAGGGGTTTGGCCCTTTGACGCTGTAGAAAAAAGAAAAAATGAAATATTTTATATGCAGCTACTGATGACAAGTGAGTCATTCCACAAAGCGGAGTGGGTCAGACAGACCTCTTGCGTTTTAAAACAAAATGATGACCATTCATGATTATTTACTGTCATTTTGACACGTTCGTCCAAGCAGATGCGAATTGGCATCCCTCGCTGTGACGTTTTAGTTCAGTCGAGTTCGGCCGTCGTTTTCGCACGTGCTAACCGCTTTAAGGCGACGAAACGGAACCTCCAAAGTCCGCACTAGCAACTTCTTTTCTCGCTCCCATATGTTCAAAACTATATCAAATGGCAGTAAGCACAAAAACAAAAAATAGTAAACCCGTTTTTCAGCGAGCAGAGGTTACAAAAAATATGCTAACAGGTGAAGGAGTGAATCGAGAGAAGGCGCTGGAACACATTCAATGTTTGAATCAAACTGATATAAATGTTTACTATAATAGTCTCTTGAGATTAAGCTGTGTTGGTAAAAGTGCACAAGGCGGTTAGCATGAGCAACTTCAAGCTGTTACTAGCTAGCCTATCTATGTCTTTACTCTGTCTCCATCAAGCAGTCAGACTTAAAACGCGTGGCACTAGTTACAGGAGATCTTTAAAAATAATAATAATAAAATAAGCTGCCCCGGCTCAGAGTGAAAACATAAAGTACAAATCTATCAAAGTAAAAACAAAAAATTCACATGGCTACTTGTTATCACAAGACAAAATTACTGGGACACAATCCCAAAATTTTGGGGTTGGTGGGGCGGGGGGACTTGGAACGCTAACATGCTCACTGTCACATGTCGAAACAACCGCTAATGTATTAGAAAACGGAACAAAAAGTGCATTTGGGGGTTTGTGCGAGATGCTAGCGTAGCTAGTCTACCTATTAACATACTGCTCCCCCTGCAACACGAAGTGCATATCTTGGCTAATGTGAGAAGCTAATATACTATGTCTTGGCTTACTTTCTTACATTTTTGGGATTTTGGAGGTTCCGCTGTACTTTTATTTTAATTTTGGCTGTTATTTTGGAATGGGGGGGGGGGGTGATAATCACGCGCCATCTCTACAAACAGGCCCAACAAAGTTAAAAGATCAACAAAAGGGACCTCACTATTTTTTTTTTTTTTTTTGGTTTCTGTTGTGGTGCAGGGCTGACAAAAAAAGAAGAGGATTTCCAGCTGTTTGGTGGCATTTATGTTCTTCCATTCCCGCACAGCAACACCCAAAGGCGAAAGAAGGGAGGAAGGGATGTTTGCATGCAACAGGCAGATGTAGCTCCAGAAGAAGACTGCGTCCTCTGTGTAATAATTCTATTGATTATTAGTCATTTTATGTGTACAAGCTAACGGAATTGTACAAAAAAAGGGATCTCTCCTATCCCCTCTATCTGTATGCTTTTGTATTACCACATGAAAATAAAGTAAAAGATTCTTTTAAGTGCCTGAATTTAGGTCACGTCGCCCTGGTGCTTTCTTTGATGAAATTTTCATAGTGTTCCTTTGCTATTTTGCGGTTCATTTCTTGAAGCTTCAGTCTATCGCGGGTTTTCATTTTTGACCATAACTTAGTTTTTCTTGCTATTTTCGCATTGACTACTTCGCCAAAATAGTAGGCATTTGTTGTACACTAGGAGCAGTAAAATGCCCACTAGTAGTTTTTGCCTCACTGTCACTGGCAACATTGTTGTCAGTCTTGTATGCCAACGTTGCCCTACCAAAATTTTGGGGGGGTGGGATTTAGTTTACAGTTTGTGAACCACTGCATTAGAGTATACAGGTGTCCCGAATATATTGCGGCATGTCAATAATAATGCATAGAACACCAGATGACAAACACAAGTTTTATTTGCAAATTGTGAAAGAAACACAAGTATAAGATGATCATTTGTGTGTTGTTTTGTTAAACAGTTCCTCTGATGTGGTCCGGATCAAAATCCTTTCGCCAGGTCATAAATGTCCTGAGATCACCCATCCCTGCTTTGGCTAATCTTCATATTTTACGGGTAAGCCTCAAATCAGGGGTCTCTCATGCTCGACCACCAAGGTAGCTCATCCAACCAGCTCTCAGTCAGGCTGATGCCCATTTCCTCTGTACATCCTCTGTGGATCCCCTGTCACATCATCAGGTACCGCTGTTATTGACCAGAGTCTTGTGTTCCTTAGTCACGGCCCTCAAGAGGGAGCACGTCCAGTAGAGCTGGTCACCCAGCTGGCGTAGCTCCAGGCCGACCTTGATGGCCGGTGAAGGAGGGAGGTTAGGAGGGCTGCTGGTCAATGCTAGAAGACATTTGGAAATAATTTGAGTCAACACTAGCTCAATATAAGGGTGGGCAAACTAATAACATGCCAGGAGGAAGTGCTGTAATATAGTAGCCCAAAAACATTTGACCCACAAATGGTAATGTAAGCAAAACATGGTTCAAGATTTAAGTCAACCGCTTTATTTCTAATAAAATTCAATTCAAAAAGACGAAATTAATATAGATTATAGACATACATTTAAAATACAGATGTCATATGCAGTATATCTCAAAAGTATTCAATAAAAATCTTTATACTTTAAAATATATAAATAGAAGCAAAAAGAAATATATATTTTCTTAAACGTACAGAAATTATACATGACAATAAATAAGCCCAAAAAGTGATGTACTGTACTATTAAGGTAAATATGCCAATTTGTTAAAAATAACAAGATACTCTATTAAAATTAGGCTATTTAGTGTGCTTTTATTTGGACCGTAAACTTGTTTTTACTGGCGTCTTGTACGTAAACGAGACACGAAATAAAACGTCTTCTGCATGCGGAAAAGGTGAAACATTCAAAGAGTAAAATAACACCTACCTTGGCCTGACATCTTTATTCACGGGTCTCTGCCAAAGCCAACGAGGACAATATAGTTGCACGTTTCCAAATCTTCGTTGTGACTTCACAAGTCAACAAATGACACCCTGCAGTTTAGAGTCTAAACTATTCATAGCCGGCAAGGTTATATACCAGCGATACGTCACAACCCGGAAGCAACATTCTCTCCTTGTGTCACCGTAGACAAACATATTCCACCTTTGAGGGGTTGCCGCGTTGTTGCAATACGTCAGTGTGTCCGCCATTGCGGATGTGTCCACTCTGCTCTGTAATGCAAGTGGGTTTCATCAAGTATTTATTAACACGCAATAACTTAATAGTATGAGCGTTTACATGACTACTACTACTACTACTACCACTACTACTACTACTATTACTATGTACCAACGTATGTAGCCTTGTTACCACGATGGTAGATATTGAAATATATAAACAAGGCAAGGCAGCTTTATTTCATCATTGCGAGCGTCGCGGGTGTGCTGGAGCCTGTCCCAGCTGTCCTCAGGCGGGGGGTGCACCCTGAACTGGTTGCCAGCCAATCGCAGGGAACACATAGACGAAACACCATTCGCGCTCACAATCACACCTGGGGACAATTAGTGTTCCATGAACCTGCCATGAATCTTTTTGAAATGTGGAAGGAAATCGGAGTACCCGGCGAAAACGCACGCAGGCACGGGGAGAACATGAAAACTCCACGCATGAAGGCCGGGGCCGGAATTGAACCCCGCACCTCTGCCCTGTGAGGCGGCCGTGCGAAGCAGTCGTCCACCGTGCAGCCGCAGCGTGCGCATTTCACACATAAGGTAAATCAGTGTCATTAACATATACTGTAGACGCTAGTATCTTTCCCGAATATATTAAGATATTTACAGTATGTGTGAATGAGCGGCAAGGTGTTCAATTCGTTTAATTGACTTTATTTAGTTGACAGGGCAGATCTAACACATTCAAGATGGCGACTGTACTTTACGCATTGCAGCAACGGTAAACTCGCCCGAAGATTACGTACGTCTATACCGAAAATAGCCAGCTTTCGTGACGGCCGAATAACGTCAAAGCTAACCTGCCAAGTATTTTGTTTCCCGAAAGTCACGTGATTATTATGCGGTTGGGACTTTTATGTCGAGAAACAACATGTAAATACATTTATACAATGGTTGTGAGACGCATTGTACATTCGTAATACTAACGAGGAAGCTAAAAGTGTTATGATGAAGCAAAAGAAACATAAAATAAATCTCTCTATTATCATGAGTGAGAAACAATAAACTACAGTAACATGATTATTATTTCAGTAATGATTATGAATAATGTATGTTTATTATGTATGGTGGAAGTATAATGGGAAAGATTATGAGTGAATTAAAGTACAATTATTGCAGAAACAATTACATTTGCATAATAAATATAATAGTCTCTGTTATAATGGCATGATATTGGACCATATTCATTTCTGCAGTTTTCTCACTTTGACAAAGAACAAATCTATATCTAAATATATTTTTTGGCTAGTACGGTGCATTTGTTGAGTAGGCTGCAGTTCAGTTATATTTAAGTCAAATACGTTTGCATTAAAACATTTAAAAGTGCTTGCTTACAAATATTTATTCAGGATCATTTAAAAAAAAACTTTAGGTGAATTATTACATAAGTCCAGTTTTAACCGGTGGTTTGAGGAATTTGCGCCATTGCCTGATGACAGGAAAACAGGGCAGGGTTCATGTGGCGTTTTAGAGGAAACGAGGACGCTGCGGTGAAATGTGTTCTACTGCCAAGTCATGCTACCACAAGATCATGTGAGAATCACCCGTACCGATTTTCATACCTTTATGTATAGTCTGCCGTGAAAGCGAAGAAGTGGAATTCGGATCACTGTTTCCTTGTAAATTTCCCAAATGGAAATTGTGAATATGACTTTACCGTCTGCTCTGCAAATTGTTTTGTTTGCCTAATCAGTTTCAAAATTTCCCAAATGGAAATTGTGAATATGACTTTACGGTCTGCAAATTGTTTTGTTTGCCTAATCAGTTTCCTTTTTGAGCAGCCTTATTTTGTTATGCAACTCCAGAAATAGTTTTTGAGTGTGTTGACAGTTCAGAATGTCCTCTTCTTGCTCGCAGCCTTATTTTGTTATGCAACTCCAGAAATAGTTGATAGAATGTCCTCTTCTTGCTACCGTCATTTGTTATATTACTATTCTTAATCTTTCACATCCGGAGCTAAACATTGTCATGTGTTATGATGTACAGGCTGTGAGTGAAACTCTTATCACGGAAGCACACGGAACTTGGAAAGATGCTGTATTCACATTTTTGTGAAGGTTGCCCCAACATGTAAAATTACAATAAAAATACAATACCGGTACTCTAAAAAAATAAAATGATCAAATTTGTATATCTATTTTTTTTTCTCTCATAAAATTAAGACGGCCAAGGAAAGTAATGGAATAAAAAAAATCTTTATTGCAACAATTTTTGGCAATGACAGTTCCTCTTATGATTTATATTTTTTCATATGAGGATTATTACCATGATAGAAAATCCTTAGTGACCATCACTTTGTCATTCTTGCGTCAACCATTTTGTTGTTTCCATACGTTACGCCACATTCTCCGACTTGATCAGCTCCAAGATGATTTGGATGGCCCTCTCACCTTGACAAATGGGGGGGTGGAGACGTTATTTATACTGTTACCATGATGACAGGGGTTTGATTTTTACCTTCTAAATTCACGCGCGGGTTCTCCAGTTTCTTCTCCAGCAACGAGTCCAGCAACTTCCTCAAGTGTTTGAAGATCACACCGATGCGCACGGGAGCCTACAAAGTGAATGTACCGTATAAAATTATGTTTAATAACGGTTAAAACAATAAAACCGTTTATCTTCAAAACGCTGTAGCGAATAAAGAGAATTCCATTTTAGAGGCAAAAATACAGTCTTCCATTTTGTGCTCTGTGGCTGATTTATGAAGACATTGCAGTGATCCTCAACTGAACCTTACTACAGTTTTTTTCTTTTTCTGGTTCTGAATGTGGAAATCGGTTTTGGCTGCTGTTAAGTGCAGAGCCGAATCTAGTCTGTGAGATAGAAGGGTGCTGGCCACTCCAAAAAACGTCATCAATTATTTTCCTTAACAACTTTAAGCTGATGAAATTAACCAGACAATACAAACAATATATATACGGTATAGTTGCTTTCTTGACTGACTTAAGCGTGTCTCAAAAAGTTGATGAATTTTAAAGTGGCCCTTTCATCCTTCCATTTTTCTACACGCGGCCCTCAAACAAAAAAGTTTGGACACCCCCGGTCTAAAGGATCACTTGGGAGTAGTTAGCTGACCCTAGCTGACTTTTAACTCCTGTTTTGTAGTCTAGCTTGAGTGGAAAACAGTCAGACGAAGCGCTCAGGATCGGTAGTGACCTGGAAGTGCATCCATCCGTCCAACGATATGAGGCGTTCCCTGTGCTGAATGTCGATGTCCCCTCCGAAGAGCAGCATGGGGAACGGGGATATAAGAGTGGTGTCTCGTAGGTAGATCCTGGTGTACTTCACCTGATGACAAATGAAATACACGTATTAATGATAAAATGACTAATATCGTAATCGACGAGGCGAGACGTCAGACCTTTTCTTGGTAGAGCAGCCAGCCGTGCGTCTGCAGGTTGCGATTGACGGACGACGGGTGCACCTGCGCTCGGCCCTGCGGCGTCTCTGCCGTGCACGCCACTCGCTCCGAGGCGTCCACGGAGGCGACGCAGAGAATGCGCGCCACGCTGTCGTACAGGCCCGCCGTCAGCGCTGCCCCCAGCAACGACACGGGCGCTTTGGATACCGCGGGCGCCTGGGTTGCGCGCGACGAGGAGAAGCCCGCCTGCTCCATCATCTTCATCAGCTCCTGCTTCACGTCCTGCATCGCAAAGACTTTATTCGGGACGCATATTTGACTCCACGCTTTATATTTTCAGCATTTCGTTCTTTTGTTTATTTTTATGATCCTATTTCTAGGTTACCGTAAAAATGATCAATTTAAAAGGACGGTAAGAATGTCAGGAGGGCACAATGTCCGTGAGTAAAAACACATTTCTATGCAGAATTGCGTTTTCTGTAAAAATGCTTTGACCTAGTTTAGAAAATAAATTGATTATAAATGATTTTAGAATGTTTTTAGTCGTTAAAAAAAAATTGAAAAATAAATTCGATTTGAATGCAATTTATTACAATAAAATCTACATTTTTTAATTAAAATAAGTTTAATGTATTTTATTTTATTATTTATGCTTTTTGCTCCAAAATATTTTAAGCAATTTAATATGTGGATTAAAAAATTGTTTCTAATATTATGATTCCGATATTTAGCTATGCCAGAGAGTTAATCGTGTGTGTGTGTGTGTGTGTGTGTGTGTGTGTGTGTGTGTGTCTTACCTCTATAGTGGCAAGTGCAGCGCGGTTAAGGAAGTGTTTGCGGCAAAAGGACATTTCTGCTTTGTGTCCTTCCTTTTGGGAATTCTTCCAACTAAAACATGGAATGACATAATCCATCTCTTGCTCCCCAAATTCAGATCGTAAAATGGGGGGCCCGTCCATACCCGAGATATGCGTTGTAGATGGTCATGTGGTCAGAGTTGGCCAACGCGAGTGCAGCTTTGGCCAGGTTGGCTTCCTCCTTCCTGTTCATGGGTGTGGAGAAGGGAGATTTCTCTGTGATGGCTGCCGCAATGGTCGCCTGGAAACATCACACTGGCGCTGATTAACGCCGCCAACGTCGGGCAAGCGGTGAAAAGACGCAAAGATGGGAGGTCGTACGATGGGCTCCAGGCAGCCCAAGATGGCGCCGTAGATGAGCATTTTTCCGATCTTGACGTTGACCGGCAGGTTCGCCAGGTGTTGGCCCAGCGGGGTGAGCAGGTGGCAGCTGGGCTGACAGGCACCGATCTTCCGCAGCAGGTTGACGGCGTTCATCACAGACTGAGGCTGCGGGGCGTCAAGGGCGCCGCTTAGGAACGCTTCCGGGGAGCCGTACTCGCATTTCTAAGCCAGACGAAAAAAATACATTTTTGTTATTTAGCAAGATAACACCAAAAAAAATGGTTTATTAATCAACTTATTTTGTTTTACCATAATATGAAGACAAAGCTCCTCTAGCGGCACGCGAAGTATCTCTGGAATGGAGTATTCCATAAACGCATCAAATCTGAGGAGAGAAACGGTCAGACGAGAAATAAATCCATCATAAAGAGATCATGATTTTTTTTTTTTTTGTTACAATTTTTTTCAAATGATGTAACAGGTTTCCCTTTGGCTGCCTCATCTTACCTGTACTTTGGGTAGAGTCGGAAGCAGAAGCCGTTGCGGACACGCCCTGCTCTGCCCTGCCTCTGCAGGGCGCTGGCTTTGGACACAAACGTCTCCACCAAGGAACTCATCTGGCTGCTTTCATGGTACCTGAACCACACATGACACACCACATATATACATTGAATGAACACAAGTGTCTGAATATGTTCAGTGGGATTCTACATGCTCAGTTTGCAATGCTGCATGAAAGGTTGTATTTATTAATTTTTTTTTTAATGACTCAACTCCTGGATTACAGCACCTGTGCCCATTCCTAAGTGACCTATCTCAAGCACACATTTCCCTTACTTGTTCTCCTTGGTTTTTCCCGTGTCGATGACAAACACGACGTCGGGAATGGTCACGCCCGTCTCTGCGATGTTGGTGGACAACACAATCTTAAAAGAAAAAAAGAAAAAGCGTGACTTTTGGTGCTCCAATTTGTCAAACTTTGATTACCGAAGTACAGTACCTTCCTGATACCAGCAGGGGGCACCGTGAAAGCCGCAGCCTGCTCCTTCGATGACAGCGTCGAGTGCAGAGCAACGATCCTGAACCTTTAAATTCCACACAGGATTTTAAACGTTCAGTTAACTTTGGTTTGAATTGTTCTTTAACCTGCATTGGTGTACTGACGTCACCTGTTTTTATCCTTAAATCGCTTGTCTGAGGACAGCAAGTCAAAAAGCTGCTGGATGTGAGCCAGGCCGGGCAGAAAGACCAAAACAGCACCATCCAGTGCTGTGAATTGCGGAGCTTTATCTAGAAGACGACAACGAAAGGGGAAAAAATAAATAAATAAAAAATTCACACATACATAATTTATCATGTGTGTGCCTCATAAAATAGGGTAAGGTGTTAGATTTTTTTAAATGGGTTTTATTAAATTTTTGTTTGATATTAAAAAAAGAGCTAAGCTATTTCGGTAAATGTTTTTGTAATTCAATAAAATAAAAGAAGTTGGGATATTTCTTGGGATGATTCCTATCTTTTGTAATGACATTTCTGCTCATGATTTAAAATAAAACGGCAGTTTGTATTTTATTTATTTGTTTTTTGGTAAGAATGAGTTTGCCTATTACTAAAAAAGGTGGGTCGAGGTGTTGTATTTGTTTTCTAATTTTGTTTTTTTTTTTTGGGGGGGGGGCATTTAATATTTGCCCATTATCTCAAAAAGGGTAGGAAAAGGTTATTTGGTGGGAAATTAAGGGTGGAAAAAGTTATAATAAACAGGTAAAAAAAAAAAAAGTTTTCAGTCTTTTTTTTTTTCCCTTGGCATTGTATGTGTGTGTGAGTGTGTGTGCGTGTGTGTGTTTCCCCATATGACCACAGAACTGAAGCACATTTCTGAGTCACATTTCCGTCAAAGCTGCTCTTCAATATGGTCTGACGAAACACACATCTAATAGTTTGGCCATGACATGCTTGTGTGGTACCGAGGTAGCTGATGAGCTCCACCAGCAGTTCCATGTTGATTTTGTTGGGGTTCATGTACTGCAGCACCTGCCGAGTCCTGCAGCTGAAATGGTCCAGGTCGGGACCTAAATCCCAACCTGGTGACGAGTCCCTCACGATCACCTCCTGAGAATCAGCCCAAAGTGAGATGGGATACGTCAGATACCGCGACTTCGTCAGTCGACAACCTGAGATAGCGTCACCGCTGAGGACGGCTGGACCTTTACCTGGTGCTGTAACGTCTTTCCGCCTTTTTGCGTGACGGCGACGCTCACTTCCTCTTCCTCCTCCAGGACCTTCTGGCAGTATTCCGAGTCCTTCTCCAGGACGTAGCCTGTCTCCTCCACAATGTCCTCCAAATGGAACACCTGAAAGAAAAGCAGGTTTCAAACTGACAGACAAAGGGGGGAAAAAGAAGCTAACTGCTGTCAAATAAAACTAAAGCAAAATAGGCTGCGAAAACAAACATGATCTAAAAATTAATGAAAACTACGTGAAGTAAAAAATAAGTAAAATAAAAAGTAACAATCATGGAAAAAATCCAAAACGTAAAAACAACATTCATACAGAAGCTACCAATGGGCACAATTCGCACGCCGAGTCACTCCACACGGAAACTGGTTAACAGCGCGCCAACTCGACACGCTCATTCGCCGACACCCATGTCACTCACCAATCCAGGACAAGACTTTCAAAAGTCGTACAGTCACATATATGATACTAATACGCGAGGATGGCAACCTCTAGTGGACAAAAATAAGACCCACGACTCCCATACAGGTTATTGTTTTTAATATTTTTAAATCCGATAACTCAAATCGATGGGATACAGTCACTTCTCCGTTTCTATGGTAATGATTCACCATCATTCGTCTCCATAACGGAGTCTGCTCACCTCCACCGGGAAGGTCCGTCCCGGGATGTTAAGTACGGGGCAGCGGTTGAAATAGTTTGAGAACTTGTGACAATCGGCGGTGGCGCTCATGAGGATCAATTGCAGGTCTGCCCGCCTGGAGGCCACGTCCTTGAGGATGGTGAGCAGGAAGTCGGATTGGACGCTGCGCTCGTGCACCTGCAGAAATTTCAGGGTGAGTCATTTGTAATGACAACAGAGATTTTGGCCATACCTCGTCTACGATGACGTGAGTCAGGGCGCTGAGGTGTCGGTCGTGCTGGAGCTTTCGCAACAGAACTCCTGTGGTGCAGTACAACAAGCGAGTCCACTCGCCCGACTGGTTCTCCATCCTGATCTGGTAGCCGCAAAGTGACGACTGAAGACAAAAAAAAAAAAAACAAGGGTTGTAAGTGTACCTACTGGATGACATGTCTGTGTCAGAGTTCAGGTCCAAATCTTGGCTCCTTTCATGTTCTCCCCATCCTAGTGTGGTTAATGCCTCCCACATTCCAAAAGCATGCAAAGTTCTAAATTGTCCACAGGTGTGAATGTGATTTATGACTGCTTGTACAAAGTATGTTTCTACGTGTCTTGTGGCTCGTAACAAGTTCAGGATGTACCCTGCTTCCCTTGCCAATCTTAGGTTAGTTCAAGCATACGCTTTGAGATTCATCTGAGTGTGAATGCTTGTTTGTCTATTACACATAGTCTGGAAATTGGATTTACTTTTTAGATTTAATTTTTTCTACATATTTCTTGCTTTTTAAAAATTTCTTCATATTTTAGTTGATTTTGATTTTTTTTTTAGAAAGATTATTTTAAAATCAAACATTTAAATTTAACTTGAAATGTTATTTAAAAAAACGTTTCTATTTTGTTGACAGTTAATTTTGTTGAATATTTTTGTGATTTTTGGGGGGGGAAATTTTAGTGCAAATTCTTTTTATTTAGATCAATATTTTGTAGATTTTCTTTTCAAAATCTAATTTATTCTTCGATATGTTCTCTTTGTTTTAATGAAAGCTTTTTGCTGTTTCAGATTTTCTTGAAACCTATAGTGCAAAATTTTGATTTGTATAGTGTTGCAATTTTAGTGGAAGTATGATTCCGCTGAATTTTTGTGAAACTTTGACAGTTTTGTTGAATTTTCCTTAAAATATTTGGCAAAAAGAAGCTAACAGGCTAGAAAGGAGAGTTTACCTTTGAACTCGGCCCGTCCTGGCAGCCGAGCTCCTGGCTGACCCTGCAGGCCAGACTCATGGCGGAGATCCGTCGTGGCTGCGTGACGACAATGTTACAGGCTCGAGCCGCCTCCCCTCCAAGCAGCAGCTCTTCGAGGAGGAACTGTGGGATCTGCGTGCTTTTGCCGCTGCCCGTCTCGCCGGCCACCACCACCACGCGGTGGCGCCGCAGGGCTTCCAGGATGTGTTGACGGTGCTGGAAGACGGGAAGCTGCTCTCTTTCGGCCTTGAAGGACAAAAAAAAAAAAATTTTAATTCAAGATCCCCAAAATTTGAGAGCAGGGGTGCGTAGACTTTTACTCCCACTCTAGCTGCATGTCTCACCAGGAGTCTCTGAGCCAGGGGGGACGTCCTGAGCTTCATGAGGAGTTCTCTTGACGTTCGTAGCGCTCCTTCCTGTTCCTTCTGACCTCTCCTTCCCTCCAACTTCTCCTCTTCATCCCCTTTTGCTTTCTCCGTGATATCAAGGGAGGCCAGGTTCTCCCAGGAGTCCTCTGCTTCTTCCACCTCCTCCGCAGCACCAAGCCGAGTCTGCCCATCGGATTGAGACTCGAGCCCGTGTTGGTGGTGGTGCTGCTGTTGCTTGAGGCGGGTCAGGAGTCGGGCGATGAACTGGTCTCGGGGCTTGTTGGCGGCGCTGCGCGTCTCTTCCTGCTGCTGCTGCTCACCATCCCGCCACTCCAGCCACACGTCCCGGTAGGTTGGGGGGAGGAGCTGATGCACCGACTACGGACATGATCGTATAAGTAAAAATGAACACAAATAAAATAGACTTTGAAATAGTAATATGCCTATTTTCATGTTTTCATGAAGTATTTATTTCTTGTCTGCATGTCCCAACTTTAATTCAACTGCAGATGGGAAATCATGCAGTGGAGTCAAGCGCCACCTGCTGGCAAACGCCGTGCACTACCTGTCCTTTCACCAGGTTGTAAAGCGCCAGAGTGGCACCCAGATGCTGAGCCTGCATGCCGTCCTCGGTCAGGATGGTCGGACAAACTTCCAAAACGTCTTCCGTCCTCTGAACGCGCACCCTCGTGTCAATGAAAAAAAAATCGACAGAATTACGGCAACACCAACCATGCATGAGACCAAAACAAAAAATCACTTACTTGCACCTCCAGTATTTGCCCGCAGCCACTTTGTGGAAGGCCGGTGGCGGACTCTTGGGAAGGTTTTTGCGCACCCAGTCAATGAGGAACTGCTTAGGAGACTTGCCTGTCCAACTGCGTGCAGTGTAGTCAAAGTTACGAATGTCCTTTGGCTCATTCATCTTCTTCTTCTTCGGTTGCGCGACTGAGGGCATGTGTTGAATAAGGTCAGCGGTTCATTCAAGAAAAAAACAAAATCTAAATGAAGATTCTTTTACCTTTGTCTGCCGGGGCCTCTTTTTCCGCCCTCTCAAACAAGTTGAAACCGATTTCCTCTTTGTCCTCATTGACAGATGGCGTCGAAACGTCTTCCGTCCTCTGAACGCGCACCCTCGTGTCAATGAAAAAAAAATCGACAGAATTACGGCAACACCAACCATGCATGAGACCAAAACAAAAAATCACTTACTTGCACCTCCAGTATTTGCCCGCAGCCACTTTGTGGAAGGCCGGTGGCGGACTCTTGGGAAGGTTTTTGCGCACCCAGTCAATGAGGAACTGCTTAGGAGACTTGCCTGTCCAACTGCGTGCAGTGTAGTCAAAGTTACGAATGTCCTTTGGCTCATTCATCTTCTTCTTTGGTTGCACAACTGAGGGCATATGTTGAATAAGGTCAGCGGTGCATTCAAGAAAAAAACAAAATCTAAACGAAGATTCTTTTAAGATGTACCTTTGTCTGCCGGGGCCTCTTTTTCTGCCCTCTCAAACAAGTTGAAACCGATTTCATCTTTGTCCTCATTGACAGATGGCGTCGTCTTCTCCTTTCGGGGTGCGTCCACCACTTTAATGGCAGGGTTGAATATGGGGTGCGACTCTAACGGCTTCATCTCTAATATTTTTGGGTGAAAATCCAGAAAGTTTGTTGACATTGTAATAGTCCCGAAATGAGAAATTGTAAAGTATACGAAATGATGAAGAACCTTGCTGAATGATGCGTATTCTGTCTTGCGCCATCCGCTGAGCCGCCTTGTCTCCTTTGGTTTTGGCCGCCATTGCCATTTCTTTGGCGTCGTAGAGCTGAGCGGTCAGGATCAAATACCTGTCGTTCTGCAAACCAAATATCAATACATTTAGTTCAAACTTTTAGTGATCCAAAAGACAATTTTCATGCTTTTTGGTATTAAATAAGTTGAGATAATTTACAGCTCGGTTCTCATCATTTTCCTTCGTTTCTTTTCAGTGAAGCCTTTGTACTCAATTAAAACAAATCTAATAGCGCACAATTCCAATCACAACCATGATTGAAATAATAGTTTTGTTCATCAGGCTTACCGGATCAAACTTTTCATCTAATTCGGGGTTGCGTTGCGACGTCTTCTCTCCTTCTCCCTCCTCACCATCGTCTTCATCGCTGCTCTGCTCAGCGTACCTTAAGATCCAATCTTTCATACGTGCGTCGTCATCCTTCACGGACACCTGGAAAGCGCAATTACGGTTTGGATGAATGGCAGAATACGATGACTTCCTGTTTTTGTAACTGCACACCTTGCTGGCGTCTTTGGAAGGGGGCATTATGGGTAGCTCGGGGCTCTGGGTTCGGGGTTGGACAGGGGGCTGGAAACGGGGCCGATTCCTCTGACTCTCCTCCTGCATCTGCTGGCTGAAACCTTCAGGAAGCTCATCTGCGAATTCAACATCTTACATGGAGCAGCTCGAAGGACGAGCTTGGAATTTACAGCTCGTGCAAGGTTACCATCTCGAAGGTTCAGGCAGAGCCAGTCGAGGGCAGAGTGGAGATCACCTCCGTAGAGCACGCTGGTCTTCATGGCCTCCTCGATATGCTCCCGCTTGAAGTCGAACTTCTGCAGGGCCGTGTACAGATCCTACATGCAGAAAAAAAAAAAGCGGAAAAAATTCGACAGTGTCGTCGCACATAAACCTGACAGTGTCTGACATCCGGATTACATCTGTGGTGGGGTGGAAACGCAATTTGCGTACACAGTACGTTTCCATCACTCGTCACCACTTTGTGAGAAGGTAACTTCTTTTTATTTCAAATTAAGAATGTTAGAATGCTACTTGAATCAGTGCCTGTGTAGTTACTGATGGCCCATGATTGACTCTGAAACCAACTCATTCAATTATTTGTTGTTGTTTTTTTTCTCTGGAGAAAACAAAAGTTGTGATTGTGTTCAACCTTACCAAAAGTTTCTTGCTGGTGAGTCTTCCCGACACAGGCCCCTTGTCGCCATTCTCCTGCCGGAAGTCATTGATCAGCTTTATGATCGTTTTCTCCAGGTCAGCTTGGATAGAAACCTACAGCAGACAAATCCCCACACACAACGTTTATGAAGAGGTGCAACAGAACACATCAAATGCATAACTAAAAATCCCACTTACTTTCAGGATAGATTTGTCCGACCCACCGCCTGTATCCACCTGGGCATTGTTGGACAGAGTGTAGGTCTTTGGAGCTGAAAATTTGGTTTTGAAAGCAAGTTACTTTTTCGTGTCAAGTAATACTATACACAATACAAACATATTTATTCAACATTATTTGTGTTATTGTAGATTGCAGTAGAATAAAGACACACCACATTATACTTGGGACGATTTCTAATTTTGTGGCACTCCCCTGGAGCTAAACAAGGTGGCCAAGATATAAACCGAAATTTTGACTCCAGTTCTACTGGTGTTGCAGTCCTAATGTTGTGTCTGGTGATTCCATGTCAATAATTGGGCTGCATTACGGAAGCACCGAAACCACATTACTCTCGAGGCGGGGTAAAGTACCAACTTTATGCTGCCGAATTTTCTTTCATTTCCTTTCTTTAAAGGCGAGAAGGAGCGGTGACTCTTGGAAGCTAGCCTCACGTGCGCTGTTATGTGAACTTCACGGCCAACGAATATTTGAAACGTTATAATTTAGAATTTCTTCAAGATACCGCGAATTAAGTTGTTGAAATTGCCCTCTTGTTCAGGAAAGTAGCTAGTCTAAATAATGACGACGATGCTCCCCCGGCTGCCAAGACCAAGAGGGAGCTGCCGGACAGTGACGGAGGAGAGGAGCTGGGCTTCGGGAAGAAACCTCGCCTCGACACGGTCTCCGCCAATGACCTCAAGTAAGGAGATATATACACATACTGGTCACGTTCCCGCGTTGCATTGTGGGAAGGGTGCCTTGCAACAATCATGGCGGACCCATTTGGAGATTTATTTAGCGTGTTTGACGACGAACAGAAGCCCACTACGAGCAAGAAACCGCCGGCCTCGGTCGCTCTCGAGGCGGGGTAAAGTACCAACTTTAGAAGTTTAAAATTATGTACTTCTGATTTATCATCTTTGTCTATGCCATACGGAAGGGATTGAACAGACTTGTTGACTTTGCTTCCTTGATGTGACGTTCAGATCTTAAAGTCAAGTAATTGCCAGTCATGTTTTGGGCATCTTGTTTTCCAATCGGCCCGTTTAGGACAACTTACTACTCACCTGTCAGCTGCCATTTCCGAATTAAAACGCTTTGCTTGAATAGTGAAATGTCTCTTGCTGAGTTTGCAAATAATCAAAGGCTCTCTATAATGCTCTATTTTACTTTAGTCTTTCAGAATTTATGCCCCAAGTCAAAGTGGAGCCAGTGGAGACGGCGGAAGGCTGCTCACATGAGGCAAGTAAAACAATTGTAAGGCATTTATTGCCTTGATTTAGCTGTTTAAAGTTGTTAACGCTGATTTTTTTTTTCTTCTTCCCCCTGTTTCCTGACAGGTCGCTCTGCCTGCCAGTGATGAATATAAACCTCTCAAATCTCGAGTCGGAAATGCCGCAAAGGTATTTGTAGATTTGTTTAAAAACACAAATTCCCATAGGAAATAATGGAAACGGAACATGTTTCTAGGAACGTTTTAACGGTAACGATCACATAAAACGAAAAAGCAAAAGTGAAACTCGTGATTTAATAGGTCAAATTTCAAATGTTCAAGATTCCACTCTGATGAATTATTTTTTTCTTTTGTCGTAACAGGAGTACCCTTTCATTCTGGACCCCTTTCAGCAGGAGGCCATTTTGTGCATTGACAACAACCAGTCGGTGCTTGTCTCGGCACACACCTCGGCTGGCAAGACCGTCTGTGCTGAGTGAGCCCCCCGCCCCCACCCCTACCAATCACCCTCAGAGTACTAAAATCAATGATTTGCTGTGGCATGACTTGTTCATCTATCTCCTCCTCATAGGTACGCCATCGCGCTGGCCCTGCGCGAGAAGCAGCGTGTCATCTTTACCAGCCCCATCAAGGCGCTGTCCAATCAGAAGTACCGGGAGATGTACGAGGAGTTTCAAGACGTGGGCCTGATGACGGGGGATGTCACCATCAACCCCACCGCCTCTTGCCTCGTCATGACAACAGAGGTGCGTCTTCATCATGAATGCGCCCTTCCTCTTGTTATTTTTCTTAAAGGACACCAGGAATGCTTTTCAGACTGAGAAAATAAACATGCCCCAATCCACAATGACTAGGGAACACCAATTATGTTCCTGGGTCAGTTTGACCCCAGAGTATATTTCATGACCACTTTTTTGTTCATTTCTGGTACTGCAAATGTTATTTTGACACTGGGTCAAATTGACCCATATGTGGGGCACCCACCATTCACCGGGAAATTTGAACTGGACTTGGGTCAAATTGACCCACCACCAGCAAATATGCGAGGAGGTTAATTTGACTCATGTGAATGGCCTTCCAACATGGCCTGGGTCAAAGTGACCCAAGGAACAGTACTAAGGTCAATTTGACCCAGGGCATGTTTAGTGTACCTTTCCAGTGTCAAATTAACCCATGTGACCGCTGTGCCCTGGGTCAAACTGACCCAGGACCAGCAGCAATTTGTTAATTTGACCAATCAGGAGCCTTCCACTGTGACCTGTGTCAACTTGACTGAGGACATGTTAAATTATCACTATTTTATTTACCCTGAAGGAGCAACAATGTTCCTTGGTCAGTTTGACCCAAAGCATGTTCTCTTGTACTTTTTTGGGGGTTTCTGACACTTTTTTAATTGTCGAACATGAGCTGTGTCAAATTGACCAAGGGCATTTATTGATACTCCTGGGTCAACTTGACCCATCACATTTCACTCATCAAAAGGGACAGAAATGAAGATGATACCGTCATCCTTAAATCCTTTTGCGATGGCAGATCCTGAGGAGCATGCTGTACCGCGGCTCGGAGATCATGAGGGAAGTGGCGTGGGTCGTCTTTGACGAGATCCACTACATGAGAGACGCCGGTGAGTGTGAACGAAAAGCCTCGATTCGGTGTGATTTATAAAGCTTCGGTTTGACTCCCGTCCTTATTCTCTGTAGAGCGCGGTGTGGTGTGGGAGGAAACCATCATTCTGCTTCCAGACAACGTGCACTACGTCTTCCTGTCGGCCACCATCCCCAACGCCAGGCAGTTTGCCGAGTGGATATGTCACCTTCACAAGCAGGTTTGATATTTACAGGTTTTTGATCATTTCAACCTGTTTCCAGTTCAGGGTCTGCGATCGGTCAACTTACAAGCTTTGTTGGCACCTTTCTCAGCCGTGCCACGTGGTCTACACAGACTACAGACCGACACCGCTGCAACACTACGTTTTCCCAGCAGGAGGCGATGGACTCCACCTTGTGGTTGATGAGAACGTAAGAGGGAACATCTATGTCACATTCTCTTGTAGGCTCAGTCATAATTACACGTTATCTTATCTAGTCTACAATGATCTGGATGGTCCACATCACTTGTGACTTAATGCAAGGAGTGAGCAATCCTAATACGTCTTTGTGCATTTATTTATTTTTTTTCATGGTATGGTAAAGGAGTGTCTGAAAATGGCTGGCACCGCATTGATTAAATTAGTTTTTGTAAACAGTATTTGCACTTTGTTGTACCCATTTTGTGAATTGTATTTCATTTTTATTGTAATTTATTTCTTGATTTTTAAACTCCAGCTTCTGACATATTTGAATTGACTCAACAATCTATTATTTCATTCCATTTAATCAATCCTAATTTTGTTGCATCAGGGAGACTTCAGGGAGGACAACTTCAACACAGCCATGCAGGTTTTGAGAGACACGGGGGATTCCGGAAGCAGCAATGCGGGGTCCAAGTGGGATCCAAAAGGACGCAAGGGGGGAACAAAAGGTGAGCACAGGGTCAAAAAATGACACCTTTTTTGAATCCAATAAGACGACGAAACAAATCTGCCGGGCTCAGGTCCGTCCAGCGTGTTCAAGATCGTGAAGATGATCATGGAGAGGAACTTCCAGCCTGTCATCATCTTCAGCTTCAGCAAGAAGGAATGTGAGGCGTATGCTCTGCAGGTGGCCAAGCTGGATTTCAACAAGGGTACGCTCCTCCGGGTTCCATCAAAACAACATGACTACACGTCTTTTTCTATCTGATGTCGAAATCGTACTGTGTCTTAACATTTCACCGGGGGGGGGAACAAGTGCTCGTAAAAGTCCTCACGTGGGAAAATGTCCTTGCCGAGTCCCTGGACCCTTGTTGACCACGCTGCCAAAGACTCATTACAATGCACCAAAGGATGCTTTTTCTGCCTTATGATGTTGTGAGAACAAACACGATTTGCCAGGGGAAAAGAACATGATGCAAGAGGCTTCACATGATTTGTTAAAGCTCACACGTATCACTTCTTTCCCGTATGAGCAGTACTTTGTTCGTAGTGGGGGTGGCGAGGGGAAAAAAAGAGCGGTTTTGTTTTTAAACCTGCTTGAGATGGATGTGATCGGTGACAGATCGTAGCATGTGATTGGCACTTGGGGAGTGGGTGTATTTATGCGCTGGATACATTTTACATGATGACGCGGTCATGTTTCTCCACCACAATCACCAGACCGGAGTCCTTTTAATAAATTTGGTGAAGTTTCGACTCAACAGTACATACAATATTTTCGTTTGATCAAATGCATTCTTGTTTTCAATACAATCCAATTCTACTTTATTAATTGCAGAAGAGGAAAAGCGTCTTGTGGAGGAAGTGTTCAACAACGCGGTGGACTGCCTGTCAGACGAGGACAAGAAGCTTCCTCAGGTGAGAATCGCCCTTAAAACGGCGACGTCACGTCATACCATTTTAAAAAAAAACAAAAATGGATGTCGGTCAGGTGGAGCACGTGCTGCCGCTGTTAAAAAGAGGCATCGGTATCCACCATGGCGGTCTTCTGCCCATCCTGAAGGAAACCATTGAGATCCTCTTCTCGGAAGGCCTGATCAAGGTCACATTATCATCATCATTGCACTCATCATGGAGATGATTTAAGTGATGCCATTTTCACAGTGCCTTTGTCTCGATGTCCCAGGCGCTCTTTGCCACTGAGACGTTTGCCATGGGCATCAACATGCCGGCGCGGACCGTGCTCTTCACCAGCGCCCGCAAGTTCGACGGCAAGAATCACCGCTTTGTAAGAACACACACAGAACACGCACGTCATGTAAACCTGGGGCGGGCAAAGTATGGCCTGCAGACCACATATGGCCCCTCCTGTTATTTAAGCCAAACCCCCTTTTTCCCCCTCCAAGAAAAAAAATATATCCATAGATTTAC